TACTTGGAGATAATTGTCCTGAGATAATTGTAATTGTTTTGAGATAATTGTCCCAAAGCAGAAATTTATCTAAAAAATTTATGGTAGGAAATTGGGATCATATGGGTGCATTATTTTGACGCCTCCATGCATAAGAGTTCCCATAAAAAACAAGTTCAAGACTAACTTCTAATTTTTTATAATGGAATCAGGGAAAAAATAATAAAGTCTGCCACAAGTAAAATAATTTGGATAACTTTGGATCACGGAAAGCGGCGTTATGGGCATCCTCCAATATACGTGCTTTAACTAAAAATAGCGCATCATTTTTGCTGTATGATCACGAAAATGAAAGAAGAATTGTCCTAACCAAAGTGGCGTCGCCCGACTATGATATTCTTATAAGTCTTTATCTTTTTTAAGTAAACGTACTTTCAGTAATTTAGCGTATAAATAACTTCTTTTGCTTGATATTTTCAGAATTCGAAAGAACCCATTATCCAGACGTATTTGCACGAGAAAGACTAGCGGAAAAAATTGGATTACCAGAGGCACGTATTCAGGTTTGTCTTTATTGTTTAGTTTTGTTTTTTTCTTTTGGTTTTTTTACTTATTGGTCATTCTCTACTTGTTTATTTATTTTACGTATGCTTACATTTAATACCGTCCGTTCATCGCCAAAATTATTCCCAATTTATGTTTACAGAGCTGAAATATTTACTAAGCATTTATATTCTTGAACATTTGCGAAATATTCTTATACTCCGTGAGATGCTAAAATCTAAGAGAGTGACAGAGAGTTTAGAGAAAGTATATTTGGTTAAGGGTACATATATTAAGATATTAAGATATTTTTTATAAACCAAAAACCATTTTGGATAGCTAAAGTTAGCTAGAAGAAATTTGCAAAGTGCTAATACCATGTCCATGTAGAGATTTATTGCAGGCCATTTCGGAAGGAGTTAAATAATTGAAACTCGTTAGAAATTTGTGCTTTATTTTATTTAAAAGGCTTTTTTTTTCCTCCTTCTGGACGCTGTCTAAGTTTGAAAACCAGCACGAGTTAATTTTGTCCCTCTGCCTTGTGCCCAGGGTTAATTAAATAAGAATTGGTTTGATGGACAAATATCTTAGACTGCGCTTATTGAGTTACCTTAATTCATAAATTGTAATACTAGAACACTTAAGTCCAGACAAGTAAGCTAAATGTGAGCTGCAGTGAACCATTTTAATATGATGTGATAGATGATTTCAGTACCCCAAATATTTGTTGCTTAAATCCCATCTTTGCCACAAGCTCGCTTTTTCTCATAGGACCACTGAAACCTAGCTATTTCTATTCGTTTCGATTATACAGCCATTCCCCTGAAGCAATTGTCCGCTATTGTTTGCCAAATAATTACATACTATAAAAATAGGAAAAAGAATCTTTTAAAAAAATAGTTCTGCGTACAATTAATTTGTCTACCCAAGGCGTAGATTTAATTATCCCGATCACCAAAGTTATTAGAAATACCTTTAGTTGATAAACTCCTTACTTCTTATTAATCGCAAGTATTTTTATAAATTTGCTACCTCCACAAGAAGAATCTCCTTGCATCTCTCTCTTTCAATGGTTCTGACTCATCTGATGATATTGAAACCGAATCTCCTCATTCAGACAACATTTTTGACCCATTGATTCCGATTTAAGTGATAATTACCCATACCAAATCACAAACTGGGTTTCGACTCCGGACTTGAGCATTTCAGAGAATGGCATATTACAAGATTTGAGGCCTTTAAAATATATTAGATAATCCGGAAATTTCTTGCCATATTTCACAACGAAATTTCGCAAACCAATTTTCGCAAGTGCGTTTCTGACACAGCATTAGTTCCATGCACAACACATACTTCTCTATGTGCTTCTGCAGCTGTTACCTGTTTTTTGAAATAAAAAGTAAAATATATCTTATATGGTCACTTTGATGTTCTACGTTTTACTCACTACAATAATACAATTGATCACTTTAAAATTTTTTTACAAAATAAACATAACTTACTTCTGCATAACTGTATACACCTTTAACCTGTGCCTCTATGCTAGATCTGTATACGGTTTTTACGTTTTTTTCTCTCTTTTATTTATTTATGAATTTTATTGTTTTTAGATTTTCGTTACTTTTTTTCTTTACTTCTCCTTATATACTTTGTATTATCTATTAACAAGAATAAGATATGCTTTAAAGAGCCCATTGAATTCGGCTGTTAATTTATTCTAGCTGAATTTCATGTGCAAAATAAATAAGTTAAATAAAAAACTAAAAAACAAAAAACATAATTGGAGATAACAAAAGAAGGCCAAGTTTTCTTGCTGTTTGTTTCCTTTGTGGCATGAAAGTCAACAAAACTGGGAACCAATATCGAGGATTTTGTTAAATATTGTTAGACAATATAATGTTCTTCAGATTAGATTCGTACCACAGAAGTGTGCATTTATAACTACGTTGATTTTATTGACAATTTTAGAAAACTCATTTACAGAAAATGTGTTTATAAAGTTTAAAATCAACTTATTGATAGTAGATAGGGTTTTAATGTTTTACAACACTACTATCTTGAGCTAATATCCACTTGGCTAACTTGCTTTTTCAAACAGTCACGATAGAGCTCCCCTCGTGTTGAGTAGCTCCTCTAACGATGAACCTTCTGAGAAGAAGTTACCAATATCAGATTTCGTTATGATCTTCTTGTTGTTGTTTTATCTGTTGGATTTCCTGCAAATATTTATTAGTTTTCTTGACAATCGTCAACTGCCTGAACTACTTTTATCTTGTAATCAAGGTGGGTAAAACATCGCAAATTTTTATTTACTTTTATCATGTTCCCAACTATTTAGGAAATTTCGTTTTCCATGCAATTATGTGCATTTGTACACAAAATTTTGTAACATATAATGTGCTTTTGTACACAATATTTTTATTTAATTAAAAGCGAATGATAAGTTACAAAATTTCAAAGATACATATTCTAAATTATGGCTAGGACGAAATTTCATATAGCACATTGTTTACTATTTCTTGAGAATGACACTTAGATGTCATCCATAACACAGAATAATCAAATGATGAGGGTATTTCTGAAACTAAACCGTATTTGGAGACATTTGAAAAATCATCTTTCAAGAATCTCGAAATGTCGGGAAAGCGATCAACTAATTGTTTAACTTTAGAAGGTGTAACATGTGATGTCTGGTAATCATACATATCTGTCCAATTATTCGAAAAGTCGAAAACGGGCTTTAATATACTTGGGACCACTGTTCAATTTTTTTGCTAGTTCAGGAGATGTGGGGGATTTTATAATTTGTTTCTCGGACTCTTCTTACACGTTTACACCTAAAAGAATAATACGTACTTAATGCTTACGTAAATAGACGGATAGACGAAAGCTTTTTTACCGAATGGACATATTTTCGGCCCGGGGCCATTCTCTACCTTGCCCTGGCTAATGGTCTCCTCCGCCCCATGATGTCTGTGAGAGACCCCGAAATTGGTTCCTAAGACCCCTAACCTAGTTTCCATTGATATGAGAACGAAATTTTTTTTATTTTATTTTTTTTTTCTGTTACATTGTATGTAGAATTTATTATATTAAAATGAGTTATCGTTTAATTTACG